GACCCTATCTACATTCTGAAGAAAATCACCTATTGGTCCTACCATCATGCTGCAAAAGCTAATATGCTTTCATAACCCTGCACATTTGACCCTATCTAGACCCAACAATAATCGTACCATCATGTTGAAAAACCAAAGCTCTTGTGAAACCTTATCTTTCTGGCATAACAAAAATAGAACATAATAAAATATTTCTATCACATAACATAGTGGCTAGAAGTATGGTAAACTTAGACAAAATATGACACTCAGAGGGCTTGATCCTACTTCATTAGTTTTCAAAAAAAAGATAGTTTTCATATATTAACTAGTTTAGAATAAGATGATATGTCCAATACTTGAATGGGATAGAATTCTACTGTTTATTATATACTAGACTAGGATATCTTTATTGTTAAGACTTAAAAAAAAAATTACAATAGCCATTAATTTCTTTCAAATATATGTTACTTTAAATGGAAAAAAAATCTGACTAAAATTTAAAAATTCATTCCTTTCCTTATATCTTTCCTACTTTCATATGAATACCAAAACAAAAATTTGAGTAATCTCATGTTCCTAAGAGAACACCGTTTCTCATATTTAAATTTCATTCTCAATTTAAGGACATAATATTAAAGGCCAAATTTTGAGAATCTCTAACATTTTATCATTAAATTCATTGAAAATTTCAAATCTTCTTTTCTACTTAATGACATATATGTTTTCTTTCTAACTCACTAAAAATAAATACCAATTTTAACTTCAACTAACAAAAAAAGTAAATATGAGAATTGATCGTGTAGGTAAAACTGAAAAAAACATTATCAATCATTAAAAATCCTCACCTTCCTTCGATATCTATATATTGACCTTAATAAATCCTCATTTCATTCCATTCAAAAAAAATCTTAAGAAATACAAACATATTTGACATCCATTATCATGGCTTCTAAAACTAGCATTTTTTCTCTGATTGCGACACTTTTTGTAGTTGGAGTAGTTCCAAACCCTCTAACCCACACAAATGCTTTTTGGAATCCATCACATTATGCTAAACCAGCTCCAAGATATTTTAAGATTTTGGATCAATGTCAAAAGCCTCCGCCAACTTCAATTCCATCTTGTAATAACGCAACCTTAGCTGTAATATTTCAAAACAAACCTAGTCCTAATAATTGTTGCCCTAAAGTCACCAAATTTTCAAAATTTTGCTACCATGCCTTATGATTGTTTATTGCCATCGCATCGGGTTTCACACGGAGTGTGCCAAAGTTTTTTAGACATATTCAAAAGCTTTATGATCGTTGTCTTCAAGTAGTTGCATTCCCTTCATAACCTTCTAGGTAAACTTGTTAGGAGTGCATTTCTACCATATATTTCACATATATAATTATGTATTTTTTCTGGACTAACAATACTTGAATAAGGTAGCTTTATAAACTTTTGTTTATGTTGCCAATTATTTCATTCTCTTTTTTTTTTTTTTTTGTCAAAAAAAGAGTGGTGCTAAAATATTTTTTTAAAAGCACAAGCGTATACAAATAAAGTAGATTTATTGAATTGCACAAATCATATTCATATTTTTTTCTTTTTGCCTTGGTTTTATACCTTAAAGTTTTTGTTCTATTCCTAACGTTTTATTTGATTTATTTATTTATTAGTATAAAGCGTAAATTACAACAATCTTTTTAAGTATTGTAATTTATTATGTTATAGGTTGACAAAGATAAAATTGATTGAGACCTAAACCTTGTTACTTTGCATGGGTACCATCAAGCTAAAATTTTACTAGTATTAATTGGTATAGATTGACGATGATGTTTTGCTATAAATCTATAAAAGTATAATCTACAAAAAACAAATTGAATTTAATTAAATCAGAATGACTACTTCTCTTATTGATAAGTTTATAAATCATCATCTATGTCATTTAGTTTGTTTTTAGTTTAAAATTTCTAAAACTACATAAATGTTTGGAAAAACCAAATACCCCAATTATTATCATAACACAATCCTCGGTGATCCTTCTTACTTTCTAAGTAGCTATATTATCTTAGAAAATAAAAAAGTAACATGACAATTGATTAAAAAAAACCCTATGCAAAATTAAAATATTTGTTTTTGTAATTAAGGCAAAATTATGATTAAATTCATCATTAATGACTCCCCTCTCTATTTCTTAAAAGGTAATATTTTTTTCTTCACTCAAGAAAAAAACTCCTAAATTGTTATTTATCACAAGGTGAACATGATTTGTATGCCTTTGATATTATTGATGAAATGTTCATAAATTGTTTTATTTTAGACAAAGGAAATATGAAATTGATTTGGTTTTGATCGTTAAGAAATTTGAAGTGTGACTTGATACACCATCGAACTTAAAAGGGTGAGAGACCCTTAGTATTTTAAGGCAACGTAAGGTTTGTGATCAATGTTCTGCGATAGAGGTGGAAGGATTGGAATTGAAATTTAATTTTAATGCTGTATTTGAGATAAATATTGATCATAGTGTTCGTATTCAAATATGATATGCGTGTTTTCGTTGAATGATGTAATTGATCTAAAATTTTAAATATGATGTGCCAAATACATGATATTCATGTCCAATGCATGATTACTTGATTTTGTGTGTGATTAAAAACAAAACCGATAGTGGCTTCCCACCAATGTGGTGAAAGTCGTTAGTGGTTTCCAAACGAGTTTAATCGATTTCTACTTGATTGAAATAAAATCAATAGTGGCTTTTCACTTATGTAGTCGAAGTCGTCGGTAGCTTTTAAATGATTTTATTCAATTTTTGTACGATTGAAACGAAATCGATGTTGGCTTCCCACTCGTATGGTCAAAGCTACCTAAGGCTTTCAAATCAATTTATCTCGCTTTCTATGCGATTGAAATAAAAATGATGGTGGCTTCCAATAAATGTGGTCGAAGCAATCTCGGCTTCCAAACAAGTTTATTTTCCTTTTATGCAATCCAAATAAAACCGATGGTGGCTTTTCATCATTATGATTTTTTTCCCTCATCTAAATGTTGTTTAAATAGTCCATGTGTTGAAAATAACTAGTTGCATTGTGAATTGATATCATTGATGAATCGCCTATCATTAATTTAGGAGTCTAGTAGTCATAAAGACTATAAAACATATGATTATGAATTCATTATGCTACTTATTTATAATGGTAAAAATCTTGCATTTCATTCATTTCAATTGTTGATTGAAATTCAAACTCTAGAGTAGTTTATAGATTTTCTCGACAATATGTGCTACCTAAAGTCTACCCGAAAAAAGTTAAATCCTAGAGCAAAAGTTCATCCTTATCATGTGAGTTCAATTTATAGTACACAAAAAAGTTAATCGTCACAATAAATTCCGTATTGAATCGTGAGATGGTTTTCTGTTTCAGTTTTTTGAAACCATAATATGCATGTTCAAAGTTGCAACCTCTTAAAATTCATTTCATGTGAAAGGATTAAAAAAGAAAAAGCAAAGAAAAGAAAAAGCATAGTATGTACATAAATTTGTTTGTGATTTGTTGTAACATGCTAAAACATATTGCAGGGAGAGAACTTTCATTGCTTGAGCTCAAAAACAGATCGTAGATTGCAAATTAGACTATGGATAGTTGTATAAGAGTTGCAATAAGCAACTACGCATAGAAAGCACCAATTTAATGTATTTCATTCATTAGTACATTAAATGGGCACCGTTTCTTGATTTTGATTTTCTGTTTTATTTTTTCAAGGCTACTCTATATCATTTATATTTCACTTTTTCTTGATCCATCAATGACATAAGACATATTGTATTTTCCAATGCTTTGCCCCCAGCATGGCACGAGAGACAACTAATTTTCAACCACGCAAAGGAGACCTTGACATCTTTAGAGGATGATTTCTAGAAACACCTTGACTGATCATCCAGCTAGGCATAGCCATTGTCCATCTCTTCATGAACACTTTACATACTAGAAACTACATGCCGCTCTCCAAAACCCTGGTCTGTTTGGACAATTCATCGAATAAAATGGTTAGATAGTTCAAACCTGACGAGTTGTATCTCCAAATCTCATATCTACTTAGATTAAATCATACAAGAAAATTATTATGTCTCAAACCAAGTCTCACTTTAAAACAGAGAGAGAATTAATAAGGTATGAAATTTGATCTCTCTTATAAAACTCACAAAGCTAGACATTTAGAGATGATTTGGTTACAGTTCTTATTATAGAAAGGAACTTTGACACCTCTAAAGGATGATCTATCTCTTTCCCTCTCTTTCATCCTCTACATAGTGTACACATACAAACTTTACCATACAATATTTCATTACACCAAATACTGACTTAATTATTGATGTGGCTTTGCTGGGGCATCTTCTACCACCATTATTTTTCTAACTTCTCAAATAAGCTGATTTTGAAGTAAAATAAATCTAGATGCCCCAAAACTTATGCATCATCAACAAGTGCGTCTACATGAGGTTTTGGAGGTCATTAATGAAGGAAAATGCCAAGCATTAGTTGTATTTAACAAACGTTTTAGAGATCCAAAAGATTCCTTAGGGTTAGGGATACCTTCTGTCTCTAGGACAATGGCAATAAACAAGCACAATAATTTAGAAACAAGTTTTTGGCATTGTAAAGATAAGATTCATTTTAGAACTAGCTATTTTATCTATCTTTTGTGCACTAACTCTTCTAATAAATCTTTATACATACTTACTAACAACTCATGATTTTTTTTTTGTCAAATCTGTTATTTTATTATGAAAATCATTTTTTTTAATATCCTTGGTTGATCTTTATATACCCCATCTCCACGTGAGTAAAGCTTGTCCTTCCATTGTATTTTAGCCGTCGGAAAATTGGTAATTGGTCACTCTTTAAGTGGCTATATAAGTCAACTCATCTCGCCTGTTTGCCTCGTGTTACTAATAATTCGGTGCCATTGATTATCTTACTCATTTCAACTCATTGCTGTGATCTCTCATACAGTCATACACCTTGTATCAACATATGGAAGAAATCAAGCACGCCCATGTGGCAGAGATTGGCACTGGTATTGCAATCCAAGACTATAGTTTCTGAGTTTCAGTGTTGATTTATTTTCTTCATTCACTGAACATAGTTAGCAATATTAAGGATGGTCTTGTTCGTAGGTACTAAAGTGTTGTTCCATCATGGATTCCCTCAAATATGGTACACATGGAGCTACCAAATGATTGCTGTTGCAAAAGCTGGATCTAGAGCAGCAGCCTATGATTTTAGGGGCTATGGACTCTCTGAGCAGCCAGCTGAACCTGAGAAAGGGGGCTTCTTGGACCTTGTAGAGGATACTATATATTGCCCTTCTTGACGCTCTTGGCATCAGTAAGTTAATGACATTACTCAATCTCTAATGCTTCGAAGTACCTCATGCCATGAATTTTGGTTTAAACTGACCAGATAAAATTCATTTGTCACTTAAAATGTGCTGTGAACATGGTCAATCCTGCTTACTGTTGGATTGTTCCTGCAAATTCTTGGACGAATCTTGGTAAACTTGGCATTTTCTATTCTAACTAAATTCATTGATGGTTCAAACAGATGCTCATGTATTGCAACAAAACTAGTCGTATGCTAAACTTAATTAGAGATATAACAGGTGTTCATGTTACTGAGGGCAAAAAAAAAAATTAGCAAACAGGCAGAACATTAGGTGAATTGAGTGTGTTATATATCTACATGTTGAGATAAATGGTGCAGTTAATTAATTTAGACAAAGCAGGGAAGCATACAGACGATCTCGATGCAGTTCACCATTAAGAAAATTCGAAGTTTCTTCTTGTGCATGTGTGAATTATGCCTAAGAAGCAGCTGAACGTGTCAAATGAGCTGCTGAACGTGTCAAGATGAGAAGACCAAGTCTTTTGTTTAGTTGTTGCTATTTTATTGGTCATCATTTTTTTTTTTTTTTGCTATTTTTCAGCTTAGTGGCTGCGTTTATTTCTGATTTTTCTGTTGCAAGTTCGTGTATTTAAATCAAGCATTGCATTTGAATAAATATATCAGTTTCTGTCTCTTGTGTGTAGCACCTGATTCTTTCTTATAATTTAACGAGTTGGTATCAGAGCTTATTTTCTTAAAGGGATCTGTGTGTTACATTTTCTTTCAATCCTTCAGATACTATATGGCTTCAAACAACTTTTCTCCTGTTCTACCCCCGTTTTCATTGGTGAAAATTACTAGTCGTGGGTCGTCAAAATGACAACATATCCGCAAGCTTGGGATTTTTGGGAAGTTGTATCGGAGGAGTTTGTTATTCCACTAGTTACAGGAGAATCCACTTTGCAACGAGATAAAAACTCACAAGGAGAAAACATCAAAACTTTTCAAAGCCAAAACTTGCTTATATTCAATCGTGTCCGAAACCTTATTTACCGTAATTATGAATCCGGAAACACCATTCTAGATCCGGCAATATCTCAAGAATGAGTTTCAAGGAAATGCAAAAACAAGGAGCATGAGGGTCTTGAATCTCGTAAGAGATTTTGAGCTACGAGAGAATGAAAGACTCTTAAACGGCAAAGGAGTATGCAAACCGTTTGCTGGGAATAGTCAACAAGCCGAGGCTCATTGGTGAAAACATGCCCGACAACAAGGTGGTTGAGAAGTTACTGGTAACATTACTAGAAAGATTTGAGGCCAAGATCTCCGCATTAGAGGAAGTAAAAGACCTCACCGAGATCACACTTCCCGAGCTTCTAAATACATTAAAAGCACATGAACAAAGAAGGTAGATTAGAGATGAAGGGACACTTGAGGGAGCAATGCAAGCTAAGTCAGTAAATTCAGAAAAATCAAGATCTAAGCAAAGGTAAAAATAAAAAATTGAGAAAGAACAAAGGCTCAACTGGATTTTTTGGAGCTAGCAACGAGTGGTGCGATCATCAAAAATAAAAATAAAGGTATTTATGCTCCTTGTCGGTATTGTGGCAAAACTAATCATCTTCCTTCTATGTGTTGGAGCGGACCTAATGCAAAATGCAGTAAGTGCCACCAAATGGGGCATGAAGAAAGAATCTTTAAGATGAAAGTGCAAGCAAATGAAGCTCAAACCATAAATTAACAGGAAGAGGAGCAACTATTTGTAGTTTCTTGCTATGCATCCATTAGCAATTGAGAAACTTGGCTAGTGGATAGTGGTTGTACAAACCACATGACCAAAAACGTAGAACTCTTCAAGCAACTTGACAAGACCTCCATCTCAAAAGTAAGAATTGGGAATGGAGAATTACTATCTCGTCAAAGGTAAGGGTTCTATTGCAATTGAAACCACCGCTGGTGTTAAAGTGATTTCGATGTGTTGTATGTTCCAAAGATTGATCAAAATCTCTTAAGTGTTGGTCAGCTTTGTGAAAAGGGATTTAAAGTATCCTTTGAAGACAAAACTTGTATAATCAAGGATGCGTAAGGGCTGGAAGTGTTTTGTGTAAAATGAAGGGAAAGAGCTTCCCACTTGACTTGATGGATAAGGAGTAAAAAGCATTTCGAGCGAGCAGCAAAAGTTACCGATCTCTAGAACAAGAGATCGGGACAATTTCATCATCTTGTAATTTTATTAATGCGAAGCATGGAATGGCACATGGGTTAGATCCATTCGATGACAACTTGTCAAGTTGTAAAGCATGTCGATATGGCAAACAACATAGATCGCCTTTTCCACAAAAGGCTTGGAGGGCCTCACAAAAGCTCCAACTTGTGCATATTGATATTGTTGGACCTTTCGGAACACCATCACTCAATGGCAATAGGTACTATATTGCATTTATAGATGATTTCACACGCATGTGTTGGATCTATTTTCTCGGGTTTAAATCCGAGGTGGCAAATGTGTTCGGAGGTTTAAAACTTGGGTGGAAAACCAAAGTGGATGCAAGATGATGATTATAAGGTCCGATAATGGGAAGGAGTACACTTCGGATCAGTTCAACAAATTTTATGAGGAGGCAAGAATTGAGCATCAACTCACGAGCACCCTACACACCTCAGCAAAATGGTGTCGGTGAGAGGAAAAACGGAACTATCGTAGAGATGACTCATTGCATGCCGCATGAGAAGGATTTGCCTAAAACCTTTTGGGCGGAGGCCGCAAATACTACGAGTATTTCTATTAAACAGATTACCTACCAAAGCTCTTAACAATATAACTCCTTATGAGACATGGTATGGGTTCAAACCTTCTTTGTCAAATTTAAGAGTTTTTGGTTGTCTTTGTTTCTCTTACATTCCACAGGTAAAGAGAAACAAATTGGATAAAAAGTCTGAACCTGGAATCTTCATAGGCTATAACAACACCTCAAAAGCTTATAGAATTTTTCAGCCTCAATCTAAAAAAATAATAATTGGCAGAGATGTTGTTTCTATTTATGCTGATGATCTGTTGATCACAGGAACCAATCAGGAGCTCATTGATGATTTTAAGTCTGAAATGCTTAAGGAATTTGAGATGACAGACTTTGGGCTGATGATGTATTTCCTTGGTTTGGAAGTGAGGCAGCAGAGGAGTGAGATCTTCATCAGTCAAAGAAAATATGCTAAGGAGATTCTAAAGAAGTTTCATTTGGAATAATGCAAGCCTACAGAAACTCCTATGCAAGCTAGAGTAAATTTTTGCAAGGACGATTGAGCTGCCAAAGTTGATGAAAATCTCTACAGAAGTATGATTGGGTGCCTCATGTATCTCACTGCATCAAGGATTGATATAGTGCAAGCTGTAAGTCTCCTCTCCAGATTCATGCATTGTGCGAGTGAAGAACACATGCAGGCTGCTAAAAGAATCATTAGATACATTAAAGGGACTATTGATTATGGAATCAAGTATGTAAGGAGTGATCAGTTTCAGCTGGTTGGTTTTTCTAACAGTGACTGGGGAGGCTCTGTTGATGATATGAAGAGTACTACTGGTTTTTGTTTCAATCTTGGATCGGGAGTGATTAATTGGTGCTCGAAGAAGCAAGAAATTGTTGCTCAAAGCACTACTGAGGCTGAATTTATTGCTGCAACAGCAGCAGCAAATAATGCAATCTGGTTAAGAAAAATTCTACGTGATTTGTGTTTGGAGCAGCAAGAATCAACACAAATATTTGTAGACAATCAAGCAGTTATTTCAATCTCTTCTAATCCAGTGTTTCATGGCAAGACGAAGCATTTTAAGATCAAATTCTACTTTCTTTGAGAAATTCAGAAGGAAGGAGAAGTGTCACTGGTGTACTGCAGAACAGATGAGCAAGTTGCTGACATATTCACCAAAGCCTTGCCTAAAATTAAATTTGAAGAGCTAAGAAACAAGTTGGGAGTTTGCAGCTTCAAAGGCAAGGAGGAGTGTGTGAATTATGCCTAAGAAGCAGCTGAATGTGTCAAATGAGCTGCTGAACGTGTCAAGATGAGAAGACCAAGTCTTTTGTTTAGTTGTTGCTATTTTATTGGTCATCATTTTCTGTTGTTGTTGCTATTTTTCAGCTTAGTGGCTGCGTTTATTTCTGATTTTTCTGTTGCAAGTTCGTGTATTTAAATCAAGCATTGCATTTGAATAAATATATCAGTTTCTGTCTCTTGTGTGTAGCACCTGATTCTTTCTTATAATTTAACAGCATACATGGACTGAAATGTAACATATACCTGCGTTGATACCAGGCCTTCTTCGTTGGGACGGACTTGGGATCATTTCCAGCATACATGATAGCTGTTCTGTACCCTGACAGGGTCTCCGGTATAGTATCACTAAGTGTTCCATTCACGCTACCAGGTCACAGTGGTGTCCAAACCAATCCGATGCCTGAAGGTTTCTACTGCAATAGGTGGCAGGTATATTTACATTCTCATAAGTGTCTTCTATTTGATAATTTCCTTGAAACTCTTTGAGTTTGAAGTTGGTGGCAATGGAACTTCAATTCTATGTCAATCATGCCTGTAATGTCTAAATATTCTCAGGAGCCAGGCAGAGCTGAAGCAGATTTCGGGCGCTTTGATGTTAAGACAGTGGTAAGAAACATCTACATTCTCTTCTCTGGAACTCAACCACCAACAGCTAGAGAGGACCAAGAGATCATGGACTTGGTTGAACCATCTACTACCCTACCACCATGGTTCTGGGAAGAAGATTTTATAGTCTATGCATCCTTGTATGAGAAGTCTGGATTTCGTTATCCATTGCAGGTTCCATACAGGTAAACATGAAACTCCCTGTTAAGGAAAATTAACCTCCAATCATAGATTTAAATAGAACATAACGGCCATTATATAGCGGTTTCGGGGCACTCTGTTACAGCTATTCAGCATTATATAATGACTGCAATTGTTATTCTACTACTGCGGTAAGCCACGACCATTGCGATCGCAACTGCATCCGCAATTTAAAATTATGCCTTCAACGGCTAGAAAGATGAAAAAACTTACAGAAGTGCACATTCCTGAGACTGAAAAAAACCAAAGCATTTAGCTTTATAAAGCAATCACACTTAACCTTAATGGTCAGCATTTCTGTGCAGGACTTTAGGCGTAGATTGTGGAATAACTGATCCAAAAGTTGTAGCACCAACATTGCTGATTATGGGGGAGAAGGACTCTGCGCTTAGCATCCCAGGTCTTGCAGACTAAATAAAGACTGATTTATTGAAGCATATAGTTCCAGATTTGGACACTGTCTTCCTAGAAGAAGGGAATCATTTTGTTCATGAGAAACTTCGAGGTAAGGTGAATGAGCTAATGATCAACTTCCTCAACAAACATAGGGGCTGAAGCGATGCAATGGCATCCATTCACAAAAATAAATTGTCTCTCTTGTACTGTCCTAATTTCCGAGACTCGACGTTGTGTTCAGAAATAAGAATTTTCTGGTTTCCCATTTTCTCATTTAAGCCATGAATCTAACGGGAAGAAACTGAGCCGAGAATCCAAAGGGTTCTGATTCTCTGAAGATAACGTACTGATGTAAGCTTAAAGAACAGAGCTGAAAGATCTATTTTCTTCTCCCTTTCGGCATGTTTTCACATCTAGCAAGGGAACTTCAATTTTTGAAACAATAGAATCCAAAAGTCCTGAAGACCCTTGCTTCTTTAAGCTTCCCAGATTTGCACATGGCATCACTCAGGATATCATATATCACCAAATTAGGCTTCAAGTAAGTACTTTGCTTTGCTCAAAATAGTCTGAATGCCTGATCAAGAAACCCTTGTTTGCAAAAGCCATCAGTCAATATTGAGTAAACGTAAATCTGGGAAGTTGCCATTAGCATGCATATCCTTTAAAAGCTCTTGTGCTTCACTAATTCTCCCAGCTTAGCACAAACCACTAAAAAGAGTGTTGTAACTAACTTTGTCTGGAATTAAGCCTTGATAAGTCATTTCATCAAAAAGTTGCTTTGCCTCATCCAACTTTTTGGCTTACCATCCATTGATTAAGATGTTGAAGGTAACTACATATGGCATGATATTCAGACCAAAGATTTCATTTAACAATGTTGAAGCTTCCTTCAATCGGCTCGAATTGCATAGACCCTGGATTAAGAAAGTGTATGTGACAACGGTAGGTGAAATCCTTTTTGCCTTCATTTCAGAAAAGACATCTAATGCCTCATTAACTAGCCTATCTTTACAAAGACTCTGAATAATTGTACTGTATGTAACCGCATCCGGCTTGCAACCTTCCTTTTCCATTTTCTTAAGCAAACCAGAAGCCGCTTTACCAATCTTACATAATCCTTTTACAATGGTATGATAAGTATGAAGATCAGGTTGATAAGCTTTTGCCACCTTGGAATCAAAGAATTCCACAGCTCGAGCAGTTTTACCCTCTATACAAAGCCCATTAATTAAGGCGTTAAAGGTTATAAAATCCGTTTGAAAACCAAGTTTAATGATTTCAGCCAAGACCGAGAACCAAAAATCAACACGTTGCAAGTGACAGAAGCAATTAATCAAGATGTTAAAAGTATAAACATCATTAGAAAGTCCTGCTAATTCAATTTGTTTGGACAAAGAAAGCAGAGTCTGATAATGTTTGATTCTGACAAGAGCTGATGATAACTTATTAAATTCAACATTAGAAGGCAAAGGATTCTTATGAAGCTTTGTGATGGAAGGAAGACAAGGCATCATCAATGTTTCCAAATGAAGAATAAGTATAACAACTGATGATCATGTAGTAGCTGTTTTTATTGAATAATGGTAGTAAAACTGGAGATGGAAACGGAATAAGAAACATAGCCATCTTTTTTATTTGGCTTTTTACAAAATGAAACCCAATAAAGGACGAAGATGAACATGAAGAAGCCCTTGCAAGTAGAAAGCTTTGCCGTTTCACTGTCATCATCATCACTTTTATCTCCTTCGTTTGTTTCTCTCTGCTAAACAAAAGCGCTCTGTTTTTTCTTTTATTTTGTTTTCTGGGCTGGTCAGGTCTGGTCTGGCAATTAAAAGACCAAAACAATACCTTAGTTTGCTTTAGAAGGTAATGAATGGACCTTTTAAATAGTCTTGAATCAAACTCTTTGGGCCAGAAAAACTAACCAGATATTAAGATTAAATTAACACTTGGGCCTTGAGAAGTTCTGAAGCTTATTCTACCCCAAATCTAAGAGTAAATTATAAATTAGTCCCTGTTGTCTAGAGAAACGAATTAATTATTTTTTTCTTTTCAAAAACTAATCATTTAGTATCTCACATTTTAATTCTATCAATAACTTATTTTTTTTATCAGTTTTTTTTCAGATTGATGATTTTTGTTCCCAAGATGTCTTCTTTTTTTTTACTTCAAGAGAGAGAAAGAGAGTGGACAAAAGAAGGACAAATAAATAAAACTTCAAAAGACGAACACGTATTAGAAGAATAATTAGTTTTTAAAATTAAAAAACTAATTAATTCATTTCTCAAAGCAAGAGGACTAATCTATAATTTACTCCCAAATCTAAGGTAACCAATCTTAAAATCTAAATACTTATATATTATCCAAAAATAGAAAAATAGAAAAATCTCCACACTTATTAAGATTAAATTAAGAGTCAATTTGTTTTGTTAAAAATATTTTCTTATAAAAAAATATTCTCAGAGAAAATGAGTTATTTTCTATTTTTGAAATGAATTTAGAAAAATATTTTTCTATAAAATAAATTATTTTTAATGCAAAAGGTAGTTTTTCAAGTATTCTACCATTGGATTATGCTAAAAATACATATATTTTGTATCTATGCCAAAAATTAGACAGAGAGGCATTGTAATTTTTCATCTAAACTATTCCAACTCACCGTATTACTAATCACATCCACATCTTTATAAGAGTTAATTAAGATATATAGACATCTTTTCTTTTTCTTTTTTTAAGTTGGAGTATGAAGTTAAATATATAAAGACGTATTTTTCCTCTAAAATTTTAGTTTTTAATTCATGTCCGTTGATATGAGTTATAAGATAATTCATTATTTATTTTAATTAATGATTTTTTAAATAATAATTTCTAAAAAATCTGGAATGAGATATATAATATAATTTATGTATGTATATAAGAGACTAAAAAAAAAGGAGATTGAAAGTGGCTATTCAATGAAAACCTAACTTTTTTATTAACTATTTAATCTAATAAACAATATGACTACACATATAAAAACATAATATAAGTAATAATGTAATTTAGCATCTGATTTTTTTGGATCCAATAAATTAACAATACTAAAGTAACTTATTAAGTAAAAACCTAACCCACAATCCATTAATTATTGCCAATATCGATCTTTCTTGGTATAGATTTTTAATCGAAAGAGAGATATAAATCATTTCACTCGTTTTCAAAAATAAATTCATGAATATTCAGAGATGGTCTGTTTCTGTTTTTTTTTTTCTACTCAATTTGTTTTTTCCAAATACTTTAACGCAATGCCAAATATTTAATAAAAAAGGAATTGTTTTGATAGCTAATATTATACAATTTTAATTACAAATAAAGAATCATATTAAACAAGGTCAAATTAGTCACAATAAAAATGGAGTGGGAATAATACCACATTTTTAGAGGAAAACAAAGTTAAATATATGAAAATGTAGTTTTTTATCTGAAAGTTTAGTTTTTTAATTTATGTCAATTTATACAAATTATAGAGTAAATTATTATTTATTTAAATTAATAAAATTTTAATAATAATTTGATGGAAACAATAGAATGAGATATGTGACATATTTTGTGGATGTATAACGTCCGTATGTTAAAAAAATGACAAATATAAAATGGTTACCCATTTTGCAATTTTAATGGTCAATTTTGTAGTTTTTTTTCTTTCAGTAAATAGTTTTTCAATACAACAAGTAATTTCTCCAAATTTTAATTGAAATAAGAAGTTAAAGATATCACAATATAGTTTTTCTCTCAAATTTCAGTTTTTAAGTTTACCTCAATTGATACAAGCTATAAGGCACATTATTATTTATTTTAATTAAATAATTTTTTATTACCAGAAATGTGTATTTTTAGTATAATTCAACATTTAGATGTTTGGAAAAACTATTATTTGTGCTAAGAAAATTGTGAATTAAAAGAAAATTGTTAAAAATTTGTCTTATTTTTTCATTTTTTTTGAATTTTCCTCTTTTTATTTCTATTACCCACCTTATAAATATATAAAAAATACCATATATCTCATTCTATCATTTCAACCAAATTAATATTAAAATTTCTTTAGTTAAAATTATTTAATAATGTATCTTATATAAAATAATCTTAGATGGATATTATTAATAATAATTTATTTGAACAAAATAGATATTAATAGTTATGCCGTACCTCTTAAAATACGTTTGAAAACCAAATTTGACAATTAAGAAAATGATGTAATAATTTGTAATTTAGATGACAATATGATTTTGAGAAAATTTATAATAAAAACCATGATTAAATTTTAAAATACGATCATAAAATTAAACTAGTATAATAAAAATGTATATATATATATATATATATATAGAGAGAGAGAGAGAGAGAGAGAGAGAGAGAGAGAGAGAGGAAATAAGCTAACTTACATAAAATAAAAACAAAATTGAAAATTAAAACCATTAAACATACTCATTTTCGAAATAAAATCATAAATAGAAACAAATCCAAAACAAATTGAATATAATATTATAACATTATAAAAACAGAGTCATAATTTTAAAATAAAAAATATCTATGACATAACAGAAAATAAGTAAAAAAGAAGATCAAAATCACCTCCGAATCACCATAAAACTGAAACAGTCCTTACATCCATAAAATAATCAAAACAGCCCCTGTTTAATCTTAAATAACTGCTCACATTTCATAAATATTACTTCAAATCAACTCGTATCATAAAATAAATAAATAGATAAATAAGCATAAACAAGGCACACAAAGCAATGTATTTTGCTTTGAGAATGTAAGAATTTAGATTTAAAGGTAATCGGAAGTAATTAAATTTTTAAGAACCATAATTAATAGTATGGAAAACTATAGGATCAGAAAGTAGGGGGTCAAATTGCTTCTTGTCAGTTTCTTGCTGGATTCTGTAAAATATGTCGCATTCTGGAAATTGGCCGACCACCGTCAAAACTCCATATTTCCCCCCTTTTTTTTTTTTTTTAATAATCAAAAGAACACATCCATACATTCCAAGAAATCTTTTAAACTCAAATGAAATCTGAAAAACTATTTCCAAACAACTATTTTTTAAGCTAAAATTAAATTGTATATTTTTTAAATTTAAACATTCAAAACCGTAAATCTCATCATTTAAGTGACAAAATAATCTAATTGACCTGTCAATAATTTTTTTATAAAAAAAAAACTCTTTTGTGTTTTCATTTAGGATTAAGGTCGAATTCTGCTGACAATTTTCTCTCTCGAGTATACTTTTATGCAGCAGAGCAACAAGCACTTGATAACAAAGAAAATTTAGACCCTTCTAATTCCGTGTCACTCTCAAGGGGCAAAGGCCAACGGCAGAATCAGAATGGATCTTCCAAACGTGACGAAGGCGATGCAACAAGTGTGCCTTTAGGACATCCCATTACATAACATAACAGCTATAATATAGCAATTTTAAGGTATTTTATTATCCTTATTTGAGATTATAAGAATTTTATTATCAATTCACATAAATAACAAAGAAATAGAGAATAATGATATAATCATTATATAACACTCTCATTTTTCATTACACAAAAAAATTAAAATTTCAAATTTTGTATTTTGCAATTTATCCATGCGATACTATTAATATACTTAATTAATAAAATTATTAAAAAATATAAATTAAAATAAATTTATTGATAATTATCAATATATTTATAATTTTAATTATTGCAATTGTTATTTTGTTATTATCTAAACCGACGAATTCACTCTTAGGAATCATTAAATCTTATAAATAATTATTCTGATATATTAAAAAAAAATTTGAAATGCAAGAATCAAATAACTCTCTGTGGTGAAACAAAATATCTCTCATTTCCCCTTCGAATAAATTCTTTTTTTTTTTTTATAGGAATTATTTTATGTTGCCTTGAGCGATGCGCTAATCCTTTGAATCCGTTACCAATAAACAACAACTAATAATTACAATTGGGATTGTTTTTTCTTTAACCCTGATTTAGAACGTGATTTAAAAGTATGGCTGCACCGACAAATAATAAAGTCAAGTGCTGTCTTTGCTCTTCACTAGTTCCCTGACAATGTTGACGTTCTATTAGTCCTCTGCCACATAAGTCAGTCACTTACTTGATCACCTTGATCACCTCTTTCGTTCCAAGTCCTTGCAGAACTCCTCTCTCACGCCTACAGACTCTCTCTCTCTTTCAATCATGGAACTGATCAAGCACACCCATGTAGAAGTAAGAGGGCTAAAGCTACACGTTGCAGAGATTGGCACTGGTATTAGTCCAGTACCAACATTTCTCATATCACATGGTAACTTATCTCTTCTTGGCTGATCATGTTTATTTGTTCGCAGGTCCTAAGGTGGTGTTGTTCTTACATGGATTCCCAGAAATATGGTACACATGGAGGTACCAGATGACTGCTGTTGCAGATGCTGGCTATAGAGCAATAGCCATTGATTTTAGGGGCTATGGACTATCTGAACAGCCAGCTGAACCAGAGAAAGGGACCTTCATGGATCTTGTAGATGATTTGGTTGCCCTTCTTGACACTCTTGGCATCAATAAGGTCACGATTTCCAATTCCATGGATTCCTTTGGTTTTACATGATGCCTTAATGGAAATCTGTTTCATATCAATCACAGAAATGCTGCCAACCTTGATGCTTGCATGAGTTTGAGTTAGACCACCACTCTCATCAATTGTGCCTTGAAAATTTTTTTTTTGTGAAAATTTGTCAGTAATTGCAATGATTGTTTACCTGCAATTTCATGAATTAATCTGGTCCTTGGAGAAGTGGGTATTTTTCCTTTAACTGCATGCTGCAGATCTCTGGTTGGTGTCAGAAAATGAATGGTCCTTTTGTGACCTATTTCCTAGGGAATCTTTTGTGGGGTAATTGGACCTTAGAAAATCATTGATTGTTGATGCAATTAGTGTTTATCATATATGCACTGTAAAGGTTTCGGTTAGTTCTTTTTAGTCTTCACTTGATTGACAATTTAACATGAGGTTTACAGGAAACATACAAGTACTCTGGCAAACACACAGGTATATATGAATCGACAATTTAGTTTCCTCTACATGTTGGATGTCTTAAAAAAGCGTCCTACCCGAATCTCCTTAAGCAACAACAAGTTGAACACCATAATAAACTTCCAATTTTGATACTCTAATCATACATAAATGTAATGCGTTGATGGTGGTACCAGGTTTTTCTCATTGGGAAGGATTTTGGATCTATACCCGCATATCTAGTAGCTGTTGTCCACCCTGAGAGGGTGTTGGGTGTGGTGTCCCTCGGTATTCCTTTCTTGCTACCAGGTCCTAATGCTGTTCGAAATGATCTAATGCCGTCAGGTTTCTACATAACAAGGTGGCAGGTATGATGTGATCAGTGTCATTTGTCTCCCCTACTTGATAGTTACCTTAAAGCTCTTATAGTGAGTTGTTGGTAACAACGACAATTAACAGTCCAATGTTGATCATGCCATTTTTTTTCCTGAATAATCACAGGAGCCAGGGAGAGCAGAAGCAGATTTCGGGCGCTTAGATGTTAAGACAGTGATAAGAAACATATACATTCTCTTTTCTGGAACTGAGCCACCAACAGCTAGAGATGATCAGGAAATCATGGACTTGGTTGACCCATCTACTCCTCTGCCACCATGGTTCTCTGAAGAAGATCTTTCAGCCTATGCATCATTATACGAGAAGTCAGGATTTCGTTTTGCATTACAGGTTCCTTACAGGTAACCAGCAAAGTTCTTTAGTATGGTGGATTCTTATGTGAAAAAACTTGCGCTAAAATGGATGGCTTTTCTATACAGGACCTTAGGAATAGATTGTGGAATTACCGATCCAAAAGTTACAGCGCCAACATTGCTGATCAATGGCCAAAAGGACTATGTCCTTAAGTTTGCAGGTATGGAGGACTACACGAAGAGTGAGCAACAGAAGCATTTTGTGCCTGATTTGGACATTGTGTTCCTAGAAGAAGGGAACCATTTTGTTCATGAGAAACTTCCAAGGCAAGTGAATGAGTTGATCATCAACTTCCTTAACAAACATAGTAACTGAAGAAGTTACTCACTGAGCATCTGTGAAGTGTTACAATGGTACGATCCAACTGGGATAATAAAGTTCCTTTCATGTAGTGTGCTGATATGATGTATCGAACTACATTTGGAAAGAACAATTCTTCAACTTTTACTGAACAACTTTGCCAAGATAAATTTTTCTCCGAATGAATTTGCTTCTTCTAAGTACATGGATTTCTCATTGGTCCTGAACAGAAAAATTACCACGAGAACTGCAGAATTGGCAAGCTCTTTCCAGGTTACCCAATATGCTTGATTATCTCAGTTGAGAACACCCTTTCCACCTTCCCAGCCATTGTTAATTAGTCAGTAATTCACTCCAACCTCCTTTATATCTTGTTTTTATTGACATTGGACATGCTATTTGTCCTCTCTCATAAAATTCTCTGCTCACATTTGTTTTCCTTAACGTTTCAATTCTTTAATCTGCATTACTGTGACACTAACTGGTTAATTAACTGAAAATTGACGGATGAATCTTGGTAAACTTGGCCTTTTCCAGTAAAGTGCATTAGATTAAAGAGCTTCAAAGTTCTTGCCAGCTGTGGAAGAATTAATAGTGGTCTTCTCTTACCTCATAGGTCTTTATATATATGTAAAGATAAGGGATATTCTTGGACCACAGAGACTAATTCTTTTCCAGGTGATTTTAAGAACACACCTATATCACCATGATGCATTTAGAGAAAATGAATTCCTTCCAATGCTGGTCAGGCCACCCTTCAACTTTTCCAACTTAAAACAAATTAACCTGAACCAAATTAACAAATGTTGAATTTATCCTGGCAATGGATTCACAACGTTAACCTATGCCATGTCTGCATTGCAAAAGGTCTCACTATATAGCTAGTTCCTATTACTACAAATAATTTTCAATAGGGTTAACGCGCGCTATTCATATTAGACTGATGTAATTGTTGGCATCTATGATGAGGTTTTGGTGGCCGCGTACTGAGGGGAAAAGCCAGACATTAGTTATACTACGCAAACATTTTTTGAGATCCAAAAGATCCCACAGCGATACCATTTGTATTGAGGGCAAGAAACAAGCATAATAAAGTTAGAAACAAGTTTTTAGCATTGGAAGGAAGAGTATTACTTATAAAATTTTGATTATCAGATGCAAACTAACCCTCCATACAAATACAAGAGAACTGACTAGATTTACAAACTAATCGAATGCACTAATTAATCACTGTCAATTTTGAGCTATTGAGTATTGACCTATTCCACATCAGTTCTGCAAAGTGGGCAGGATTTGGAATCTTGCAACCAACGAAAGATGCATTTTTCATGAAACACATGAGAGCAAGGTAACTTTGTGAGCTCAACAGAAGCAGAGAAGTCATCCAAACAAACTACACAACTATCCCCAGAAGAAGAATCACCATGGCCCTGGTTCTGCTTCAAGTAAAACCTCTCCTTCTCCAACTTCTTCAACGCTGTTTCGGATGCACCCCTAGGTACAGCAACACCTTCTCTATCAAACATTGTCCTAATCTCCTCGGGTGTAACTTCATGGACTTCTTTATGAACAAGACGCACATTAGCTGTCACATAGAATCCTCTAAAGCGTCCTATTAGACCGTAAGCCTGGGAAGCAATTTTTGAGGCCAAATAGTTACATAAGGAAGCATCAAGATTGAAGCCAGAAATCATGTGGGCAAGGTAATGAATGCATGAAGCAGGCACAGCAACAACTTCAATAGGAATTCGGAACAAACAACTTGATTCTGGAGCAGTTGGGTATGAATCGAATAGAATTTCTTCTCCTTCTCCTCCTGTGGCTCTCACCCATACTTCACACTGTCTTTGTAACGTAACGTTGACAACGTACATGGGATCAAGATCACTGTTTGGATAGGCCACATGTGTGCTCAATGTCGTTAGGATTTCGTCATCGCTTGGAAGTTCCATTGGAAAAGAGAAACTAAAAGATTTACGTGATGACGCGGTGAGCAAGAGAGAGTGAACCGCCTTTGTATTTATAGAGACAGAAAGAACTACTATTTAGTATTACTAATACCTACTTCAATCCGTATTAGTAATGGAAAACTTTCAATATTGATTCCTGTTGAAACAGGAAGACAATTATTAATATCAATTAGTCTTTTAAAACAACCAAACTCAATGAAAAAAGAAGAAGTTGGTAATATATATATATATATATATATATATTGAATGTTTAACCATTTTTCAACCGTGCCCTTCTTTTTTTATATAAAAAATAAAAATAAAAATAATTAAAAAAAAAATCAAACCTCTAGTGTCATTAAATCTATTTACGAAAATTACATTTAATTTGTGTGAGCAATTCATAGATGACAATTTTTGTTAAGGAAATGCCTCTTAGTATCATTTGTATGATTTTTATCATGAAATCATTGTGTTGCTTTGTTTTAAATAAAGGCATGAAAGTACAAAAGTAAAAAGTTATGCCATTTATATATTTTTATCTACAGTCAAGCATCCAATCATTCAATGTTGAAATTTAAATTTGTTCAATAAGACATTGGAGCAAATTAAATTATTAATATACCAATAGCTTCTATTTTGAGACAATGTATAAACGTGCCAAGAAAACAAAAAATACACTACAGAAACTTTTGTTTTCCTACGTACTACTTCAATCCATATCAGTAAAGTAAACCTTCCGATATTAATTGCTATTGAAACAGGAAGACAGGAATTAACATTAATCCAAAACGAAAGTTTCGGCTTTTCCTTTCAATCCTTTTAACACAAGCAAACATGGAAAGGGCGTATCCTTTTAAAGTTCAAGTTTCTTTTTTATTTTTCAACTTTGTTGCTTAGTATTTTTCTTTGGTTTATTTGAAATTTTAGTATGTATTTTCTTCTATCCTTATTTTTATTCTATCTACACACATACTCACATAGGCATCACAGCAGCATTACATGTGTTCAAATATTAAAATAATAATAAATTAATTTTCTACATCAAAACTTTTTTAATCGTTAATTTGTCTTTTAATTCTTCTTTAATTCATGCATTTATTTATTTTTTAAATGGCTCGTCTCTCAGCATCCATAAATAAAACTCTTTTCTTGTCATTTCTTATACAATAATTTTGTATGTTCTTGCTTACTAAAAAGATAACATATAGAAGCATTTTCCTATATTACTTAGTGAAGAAAAAATAATTCATTATTTTTGTTTTTTATTTTTTTCCTAAAAAGCCATATAATTTTTATTAGTTCTATCTTTGAATAAAAGTAGTACTATTTTACTTTGATTTTTAATTCTTACAAGTAATGAAATTTGTTAAGACATGGTAAGGTAGTTGATCTTATTGTATTTCTAAGACAATGTGTAATATATTTTTGATTCGTTTGCATCGAAATTTCTACGGACGACATGTATCGTTTAAAAAAAAAAATTGATTGTGTCTCGAGATAGTCATTTGAAAAAATTGTTTTAAAGTTATTTTTTTAGTTCAATCATCTTTATACTATAAAACATAGTAACTTGATTTTAATCTTTAATTTTTCGAATGATTAAGCTAAATTTTTTAATTATTTATCCATTTTAATTTACAATGAATTTATTTATTCATTGTACAAATTTTTATTATTTAATTTTTTTCCTTTTTATGTGTTAGGAATAACAATATAGACACACAATAAAAAACGAGAGATTTAGTTATGGTATTTAAATATGCCGCTAAAAATCATGAATTCATGATGATTTAAGTAAATTGCAGCTAATTTCATTTCAAATGTTGATTTTTAGTGATGATTTTGAAAATGTCGTATCTTTGAACAAAGTTTGGATATTTTAGCGATGATTTTTATTAATCTGTCACGAAAAAAAATCTTTTTTTTTTTTTGGGATTTAGCATAGGTTATTTGCGATGGCCTAAGAAGACCATTGCTAATTATACTAGACTTTAAGGGATTTTCAACGACAGCTTTTGTAAACGAGTCACTAAAACACCTTAAATTTTTAGCAATGGTCAACGAAAATCGTCGTTAAATTCCCTCCAACACCGGGGAGGTTTTTAGAGATGGTTTTCCAAATTGTAGCTAAATTCCTTTAAAGATGATTTTTTTTTTAAACCGTCGCTAAAATCCATGAAAGTGGAGGTTTTTAGTGATGGTTTTAGTAAAATTGTAGCTAAATTTCGATTTTAGCGATGGGTTCTCAAACCATTGCTAATTTATTACTATTAGGTGTGTAATAACTTGAATATAAAAAAAAATTAGGCAAGTATAAAAAAAAAGGGATAGCTTGGTTGTCCCTTTATTATCTTTGTTTTCTTCCCTCTCTTACATAATTCTCTCCCATTTTCTCTTCTTTGATTCATAAGCTAAAACCATGTTAAATTAGCTTAGAGAAACCTTGAACAAGTTGATTAAGTGGAGCGTAACTAGCTTGGAGCTTAGGAAACTTAGGAAGCTTGGAAGAATTTGGGATTTGAAGAGCATAGTGTGAAGGTAAGATTTTTGATCCATTGATTTTTAAATTATAAAGTTTATGTGTAGTTAATGATGATATTGAGTGAAGTAGATTTAGATTATGATTTGCTTAAGGAATTACTTTGATTAAGGTTAGGGTTTTCAAACCCATTTCGAGAAAAGTTTTATTAAGTGATTCTAAGTGTTTAATTGATATTTAATTATCTTGGGTAAGTGAAATAAGAAGTTAATTTTAATTGAAATCAAATCAACTTGAAAAATTAAGAGGTTGAAGATGATGAATAGTGACAAATTTAAATTTAAGTTTGAATTGAAAAAATTTTTGGGAAAAATGAGAAATTAAGTTGAAATGTATAATGAAAGATTAATGGAGTGATTATTGGATGAATTTGAATAGAATTGATCATTTAATGAAATTAAGGATTAAATTATTAAAGGTTGATTGTTTAAGAATGAGTTAAAGATTGGTAATGGAATGTGATTATACGATTAACTAGAATCAATTGAGGGATCATAGGATTTAGTTAGATTATCGAATCGAGTCTTTCCAATTAATTTCATTTTTATTTGATAATCTCATATTTTTAATTCTAGAATAATGCATTGTTTGGATTATTCCTTGTTATGTGATATTGATAGGTGATCCATCATTTTGTGATATTAGATTTTTTGAAGTGAGCGACTCCATCCTAACAATTTTGATTTTCATTCGATTCTTCAATTATACTCGTGAGTTGATATTATATTGTGCATTATATTTTAAAGTTCTTGATTCGTCCATCATGCATCATTGTTTGTAAATGATTAATAAGCATTCTAGTAGAACTTAGATAGGAATAAACATTCTAAATATTTAAAATGTTTTTGTATCAAAATGATTTAATGAGAACTGAAAAGTGATTTCAATATGTGGGATAAATGTGAACGATTTGATATGTGCTTTCAAATTTGAACATGCATATGTTATGTTTGTTATTTTGAGTATATGTGTATTTTATGAGAATGCATACATGTTACTAGAAATACTTATTTGAAAATGTATAAATATGTTTGGTTTTCGATAATGTTTTCGAGACCTTAGGAACGTAGCTACTAAAGGGTAGCCTTTAAGCTCAATGATACAAGGCTCCACCTAGCAAGAGAGGTGTAGTGCTAAATTGTATGTTGGCCAATATGCGAAAACCTACTCACGGGAGGCGTGACCTTTGGGTGTTCGCACTCTATGGGTGTATAAAACCTATATATGTGTTTTTGCATAAGTATGATATATATATGAACAAATCTTTGCTGATTTGATACGAATGGTTTTGAACCATTTGATTTAAGATATAAGATATGCTTTCGGTATACATATATTTTGAGAAATAAGCATTGCATTTTGACGTGGATTTGAAAATATTATCTAAATTTGTTTTCCTCCTTTGGTGTATTATATAATATCCACTCACCGAGTTATGATTTGTGCAACCCTCATTATCTCGGTCTTGCGGGATATTGAGTGATTGTTCATTGCTTCCTTTTGGTTACTTTTTATGAAGCTAGTACTTTGGTCATGCAACTTACCTTAATTGTAATCCCTAAAGTCAATGTATGCTTTGATTTATTTTATCTTAGATGCTCTGCAGATTATAGTTATGGGTAGTGTATTTGGAGTTGATTATGAATATTGATTTTGGATATTGAAATGTGAATTATATTGAGTTTGTCAAAGAAATGTTTATTAAGTTATGATAATGTTAATTGAAATAATAATTTGAGTGATATTGATTTGAGGACTATAGTATAAGTTCGATCATGAATTGAGGTTTAGTTTTATATCTAAGGCTTGCTTGGGTTGAGGTAGGCCTCATAGTTCTCTCGATCCTTACACCGGTCATGGCCCACTCTCGAGGTTATGATAAGTGTTGGTATCGAAGCTTAGCTTATAGAGTCTAGGATAACAACAGACCATAAGTTATATTCTAATCCATGTTTTTATCTTAAATCACATGGATTAATCCATTAGCATACATTTTAGTCTCTATGTTTATACTCTAGTATATTTTGTGCGAGAAATAGGATATTATCGTATGAAAATCCCTCACATTGCTTGCTTGAATTGACACACGATCGTGTTAATTTTTTCACACAAATTATGTCCTTTAGCTATTGCTAGTATGACATTTCTTCTTTCCTTAGACCAATTTTATGTGACACACAATCGTGTTGCTTTTACGTATAAACTATGTAAATTATTTCCGCTTATGTGGCTTTTTTTTCTTCATTTGAATTATAATTTTGTTCGCTAGATATGGGCATGTTGAATTTCTTCTACAAACTAGTGGGTCAATTCTACTCGTCTCTTATTTTGTTAAATACACATATGAACATGTTAAATTTTCAAAGAAAACAATGTGGATCAATTCTCGTCCGTGTCTCTTCTTTTTGCCAATTCACCTATAAAAATGTTAGTTTGTTCTTTAAACCGTGTATATTCCCTT